GGCACGCACAGCGGAGGGCGGCACGGGACCGGCCGCCTTGCACAGCTGGGCGGTTTGCATAGCAAGGAAGCAAGTCGCACGCATGCAAACCGCCGCAACGACGAGAAGCCGCTGCCGTACAGATACCTCTGCCTGGGACACTCCATTCCCAGTCATCCGGAGGCGCCTGGGGACGCCCAGGCTCCGAGTCCAGGTCCAGGGTGCCTGCAGCACATAGAAACGACAGCGCGTGGGCGTTATTGAGGAGCCAGCGGGGGCCAAAAACCTGCAGCAGCCCAGGAGGCAGGAGCCGGCCAACGGCGTGCTGTCGTTTCCCTCTACCTTGCCTTCCACCGGCTCAGTCCCCAGGCTGAAACGGAGCAATCCTGGCACCCTGCGTGGATGGCAACACGCCGCGTCCTCGGCTCCCTCCGTGCCCCGTGTCTCCAGGCATTGCACGCCCTCGAGGCCAGGAGCGCGGAGGGGAACCGGCACGTCAGAGCGCGGCGCCTTCCCTCCCGCGGAGCCCGCGAGAGCACACCTCCGCCCGTGGCGGGACGGGTGCGCGGGAAGACGGCCTCAGGAATTTTCCAAAGATCTCGATGTGCTGTTTGGTAAGCAGACAAGGAGGTATAGCTGAAGAGCTCAAAACTACCCACATTTTTATGTCCGGGACCCACCAAACATGTAAGAATTGAGTATCAGAATCTCTTAGCTGTCCTTGAAATATCGATCTTTATTTTGAACAGTAATGACTCTCCGGTCATTAAGCAACTGCCTTTTCTTTCTTTTCCTTAGGTAGCGTGCTAAAAATAACTGGTTGTAACAATTGATGCTCCTGATTCCTACTAAAGAAACAATCCCTTGTATTAAGACGCCTTTTATCCAGTGACCTTTCACATCACAGTAGCTGATTACAAAAATTCAGTCTGTAAAAGAAACGAACACATGGAAGAGCCAGGAAATGCCAGGCTAGTAACAATGCACCCTCCCAACTGCACCAAGCAGGGCTGAGGGCCCTCATCCATCACTTTGATTTACTGGACTTCTCTTCTGAGACCATTCTCCATTCTTCCAGGAGGCTAAATTAATCTCTCCGTTATTTCTTTTCCTATGAAAATAAGCAGCCATATGCTTCATTTGAAGTGTCACGTTCCTCATGCAGAAGACAAGGCTGCCCTTGTGCTGAAGGAGCAAAGAGTTCAACGCAACGCTGAGTGACAAGCACTACAGAGGGCCGCCTTGGAAAAAAAAATAAATCAGTGAAATACCTTTGGTGTGGCTATTTTGTTCATGGCTTGAGCAAATATAGGAATGCCTTCCTAAAGGGATGGGTAGAGTATCTCAAACAACTGTGGATTCGCTAGGCAACTAGTTCGCAGACCGTAAGAGCCTGTTGTGGCTCCAGAGTAATGACAAAGCTCCAGCTCGCTCTTCCACAGCGTGGAGGTGCCCAGCTCGCGGCCCGGCGATGAGCGCGGCCGCGTTGCAGGGAGGACATGGGACCCCTGAGGGCCTCGCTGTGCTCATCTTTAGCTCAGACTTTGACTTGTAAATTTTAGACCCCTGAGTTAAGCTGGATAACACCCCGAAAGCCTGTGGAGAGTCAAGGCCCACCCGATGGCCACGGGAACCAAACTGCCTCAAAATCTGTCTCTGAACCTGGCCACCACCTGGCCGTGCCAGCTGGCAAGAGAGGGGCTGAGATTCACTCCCGAGTCCCTGAGAAATCAGCTGGGCTAAGACAGGCAGGCTATGGAGTAAGGCATGGCAGGGTGGCATGGCCACATGCATTTGTCTACTAAGGAAGAAAAGGAAATAGGGGTAGCACTGAAAATGCTGAGAATTCCTCATTCAGAAAACGCAGCTTTTGCAAACCTTTAATTATTGAAGGGACTTGGCACGCTTTTAATGAAGGCTCCCTTTTCTCCAGTTCATCGAGACCTGCCCTGCGCTGTGAAGGTAGGCAAGTGCCATCCGCAACATGCACGTGGGAAGAGGACTGAGAGGAGAATGGGTGGTTTTCCTAGGTTTATTGCAGGAAATATTCTAGAAGCTTGAACTCCCAGGTTCCTATTTTAACTATTATATCACACAAAAAAATGAAATTCTTTTAGTTCTAAATTGAACTAGATTTCTATCTGCACAGGCAAGAGAACCTGAACACATATTTCTAACGTGCACAGGTTAAACAATAATCTTTTTTCAACAAAAAATGGAGTTGAGAGCATGAGTCCCCAATTCCAGTTCAGTGGAAATGGTTTAAATGACCAGGTTATAAATATCCCAAATTTGGGGCAATTAGATCAACACCACACTTGTTGCTATGGCGATGCTGGAAATCACAATAGTGCATAAACATAGCTCCGTTTTAAAATAACAATGAGTCTGAGATGCACTTTGACCAAGGCCAGGAAATTCGGAGCTTAGGCTGTTACTCATCAGATATTTCAGGTTTTGCTCTGTGCAACAGGGAACCCATCCTAGATCTACAAAAGTAACTGGCAAAGTTCCCGCGGGGCAGAGCTGCGCAGGAGCTCAGCCTAGGGCCCATGAAGCTCCCTTTGACAGTCCCGCACTGACCCCGTGGCAAAGTGTGATATCACTTTTGGTTAAAAGTCAGGTTAAAAGAGGCAAACAGGGCAATTTTTGTTGGTGGTGGAACTAAGACTAACCTTTTGGAGGCACTACCGCAGGCTGCTGTGCGCTTGCGTGTCCTGCACAGGGCACCAACAGCGTTGAGCTTTTTCTGTGAAAGGATTCCCCATTCTCCAATGACTCCAGAAATCGGCCACGTTTCCCTCCCTTCTCAGTGACATGGCACAGCGGAGCTCTTTCTGCCAGCGTGACCGAGCAGTGGTAACGCTGGCGTGAGGGCTGTGAGCCAGGCAGAGGCTTGAATGGGGTAGACCTCCGTTCACTTTCCTGAGGTGTCCAGGATCCCTATGGCACAGCTGTTTCTAACATTTGCGTTCCTCAGGAGTCCAAAGTTGGGCTTTTACAACGGGTCAGACCCTACAGTCACGTGCAAGGCAGACCCTCCTGCTCAGCATGACCAGTTGAAAGATGCCCACCTCTTTGGCTGCAGTGCTGGGCGAGAAGCGCCCGTGGGGAACGCCTGCCAGCCACGGCCCCGTGCAGTGTGGGGTGCGACTGCCCACTGGCTTTGAACCTGAAGGAAGGGAGGTTGTATGAGCTTCTGTAAGACCCCTGTGGTGAGCCCGGCTGAGCTCCTCCTCGTGCAAGGATGAGCGCCCATGTTTCCTCCTCCAGGGCCGGCCCCTAGCCAAAAGTTCTGGAGAGCCTCTATCCTTGGCGAAATCGAGCCGATAACATGCTGGTTTTTGTCACCATGTATGACCTTGCCTAGTCCGTGACAACTTGGCTGGCAGAGCTGGCATTCAGCCGTCCACGCAGTGCCCTCAGCACAGCAACCAGCAACTTCTTTTCTTCATTTGATTAAACAACCACTTCCTGCAGTATCATTATTTCTTCTAAACCTAATCAAGGCTTTTATCA